TATATAAACTTTAAAATATTGTTTGCCACTTGTAAATGAAGTAACCAATTTATTGCTAGTAATTTTATGCCACAAACATATCAATGATAAAATGAAATTATCTTAAAAATTAGTTTATTATTTATCTGTGTATGTGTATGTATGCACACATGTGTATGGGTGCCTACAGAGATCAGAAGAAGGAATTGGTTCCCCTGGAATTGTAGTTACAGGTAGTGGTGAGCTGCTTGACCTGGGTGCTGGGAACCAATTACTGGTCCTCTGGAAGGGCAACAAGTACTCTCAACTGCTAAGTCATCTCTCCAGCACCTTTTTTTTTTTTGAAAGATAACAATTTATTTTTGAAGTATCAAGATAGCATGTTAATATAGAAACTATAATGAACTTATTTATTTTAATCAGTAACAATCTCCTCTTAAATTATTCCTTAAGTCCACCATAATAGGATGAGAAGGCAGCCCAAAAGGTTAGGCCAAAGTCCAAAAGCTGTGAACATGTAGAGTGTTTCCCTGAATTGAGTTAACCTTTCAGAACACTGGTATTTTCACCTGTACAATTGGAGGGCTGGGTTAGGTTATTCTCAAGGTGTTTTCAGTGATTCATTTTCAGAGTTTCTATACATTCCCTTGATTTCTTTATACAACAGTATGGTCGTCCTTTGTTATAAAGACCATTTCTAAGTGTCAGCTTGGTCTAACAACTGTAGAGTTTGCTCCATGATTATAAAAGTGTCATGTTGTAGAAGCTATCTCCCTGCGTCTTTAAAAAGTGCTTCTTTTGTGTTTGATATTTGTAGTAAATACCATCTTTAAAGGAATTGTTCTTACTGATAAAATTTTTATCCCTGGTTTATCACAGAACCTACAGTGAGTGTTGTCCAAGGTGCATTCATCAATAATGGGCATCTCACCCAAGATCCATATGACCTCCCCAAGAACAGTCACATCCCTTGCCATTATGACCTGCTGCCAGTACGGGACAGTTCATCCTCCCCCAAGAGAGAGGATGGAGGTGGGGGTGGCAGCAGCAGTGGCCGCAGCGGCAGCAGCAGCAGCAGCAGCAGCAGCAGCAGTAGCAGCAGCAGCAGCAGTGAATGACACCAAAGGACCACTGGGGACCACCGAAACACTTTCCAGAACTGCAGCTCAGTTCTTTCCCATCCTCCAGTTTGCCACCATAGGTGAATGTTAGCCATTCGGATAAGCAATTGTTGAACACATACCAGAAAGCTCAAGGTGAGGCTGACATCAATCATAGGTGTGTTGTGAACAGGTGGCTTGGGAGGAGATAGCAATATGACCTCCCATTGCACTTAGGTTAGGAACTGTACCCATGAAGCATGACTTGTTTTAAGGTGTTGACTGAAGGGGTGAACCTGCCAAAATTCCTTCAGAGGCACAGATTGGAGTGGACACTGAGATTGTCACTTAGAAAATAAACATTTAAATGCTTGTCATTTGCACCATAGAGCCATCTGAGAGTTGTGCAGATTACCATAAATTTACTCAATAAAAGTGGAAACTATTAATCATGTAGAAGACAAGGAGTGTGTTATACTGCATCCCTCTTGATTGGTTTTCCAGTTGGACCCAGAACTGCAGGGACTGTTTGGATGCGGAAGGAAGCATGGTAGGACTGAATAACTGAGTAAGCACTAGTAGTGGGTAGCAAATTCAAATACAAAAAATTTAGGGCTTTTTGTTTTGTTTTGTTTTAGAATGAGAAATGCAAAATTAAAGTTATTTTAGAAATAAAGTATTGCAAAAAAAAAAACAGTACATAAATGTGCCAGGCAGAGGTGATATTTCTGTTTGACCCTTGGCCTGCTTCAGATCATGACATCATTCTACATCCATCCATCTATCATCCATATTTGCCATGTGACATTCATACCATATCAGTAATTCACAAATGCAGAAATGAAATAATTATATTTTTGACAGACTGGATTGAGTGCGTGTGTAATGACTAGCAAAGGGTATAAAATTTAAGTGTAAGAAGATGCATAAGTTTGGTAAACCATTAGTAGTACATGCTGTAATATATAGAATTAGAGGAATGTTTTCATTAATTTTTCCTAGAAGTGACTGAAATATTTTTGTGCATATTTGGAAAAAGGGCACTTTCCTATTATTAATTGTTGATTTAGAGAAACTATGCTTAAGCTGGTCTTTTGCATTGCTAATGTGATCTGTACCCCATTTCTCATTAATTTGTATTTTCATTAAGTTGTATATTCTGTGTTTTGTAGTGTTTGGACTGTTAATGAGAAAATATTGTGTGTTTATTGTTCCTTACATTATTGTCCTTCATCTTTTGCTTGACAAAAATGCATTATTTTTCTTTTGGAGGGAGGAAATGAAAATATATAATTTGAATCTATTAAAATTGATCATTATTACAATAGTACAGTAGTTACAGGTGAATGCTGATGGTTGGAGGGGCGGTTTTTAATATTTCAAAGTGAAGCTCCTCTGTTTTGTAGTTCCCCTAGTCTTGGTTAAACTGGGGGAAGGGGAACAGTAAGTCTATAGCCTGATTTGACTAAGGACTCGTTATGGTCATCAGATAATTGACCATTCAAACTGGGATACTTTCAATAATAAGCAAGGGCATCATTAATAATCCTCCTGCAGTGGGTTTAAATGGGACTGTTCCCGACAGACTAGAACATATGCTCACCTGATGCACACTTATGCAGAAACATCTTCATTCCAAGGTGTTTGTCTCATGAGAAAGCCAATACGATTCAAGAAAGTCAGGGTCTTTTTCTTTGATATACATGAGCCCGCAGAGGAGTTGAAAGACTGTGAGAAGCTACATCTTCATAACAGAAAGCAGCAGCCTTCGATATTTTACAGAAATGGAACTGATATGACATCCTGTCCAAGTCCATTATTAATTATATATGGCACACCCATCTGCCAGCTGTATGCATACAGTGCTGTCCCTGTCAGTCTCCAAGGTGGAATATCCAGTCATTTCCTGTCATATACCTGTGCCTGTCATGGTAGGTTGTTTTGGTCAGGTAAATAATTCAGCAGACACACTTAGGGCAAGTTTAGAAGCAACTGATTTATTTCGGCAGTCAGCCACTGACTTACTCTTCAGGGACCAGCATCAAACTGAGACACACACGTGGGTTAGCAGCCACAAGGAGTCCTGATTGGTAAGAAAAGGATGGCCACTTGTCCCCTTTTTCTCTTAAGCTCTTAAGGATCATCTCTTTAGAGTGCTATGGTAAGTTTGAGTTTCTCTATTACACCCTAGAGATAGGTATGGATCCGGCCGGGGGGAGAAATAAAACAAAAGCAAAACCAAAAACCACCTCTCCTCCCCCGTGTGGCATGCCTTTAATCCATCACTCAGGAGATAGGGGCAGGCAGGCAGAGCTCTATGAGACTGAGGCCAGCCTGGTCTATATAGTGAGACCCAGGTCAGCTGGGGCTACAGGGAAACCCTCCTTCCATTAAAAAAAAAAAAAAAAACAGAAAAAAAAGTCTTAAAAGAAAGCAAGCTTGGTGTGCAAAGGTACCAGGGACTTACATGGAAAGACTGCAGAGCAGGTAGACTCAGAGCAACTAGTGCCAACTTAGCAGAGCTCATTCCTGACTCTTCAAAAATCTCAGAAACAGTAAAATCCTGCGCAGCATTTGGAGAGAAAGCAGAATTTTCTAGATATTTTAGTGTAATTTATCTCTTGTATCCTCTGATAGTAAAAGCACTGAATGAGCTTGGTGATACCTTGCAAAAGACATTCATACAGGCACGTGAGCCTAACTATTATTCTTTCCCTAGAAGCTGATGTTTCAGAAAATTTGTGAATTGCTGATATTTATATAAAAGTACATCAGAACTTGCCCAAACAATAACCTCAAATGATAACTCATTCTTGCTTTAATTAGAAGAATATGTATGTGTCACTAATTATATGATAAGGAAAATTTTGTAATTATTTATAATGCTTGATATGAGTCCCTTTCCCATGGTATATTAGTAAAGTTACAGAGCCTAATGTGTTTAGCAATATTTTTGTGAATAATTACCAAGTACCCCAAAAGTGGAGCAATCTAAGGTATCTCAGCCAGCTCCACTAGCATAAAGACTACCTACCCTGAGAAGTGCAGAGGGCTTTATGAGAGTGTGGTCCTCTTGATCTCAGTGAGCTTCAAGAGTGCTAATTGTTGGGAACTTTTTAGCCAAAAATATTTTAAAAGTTAAAAGCATCACGATACCATTTATAATAATTCACATTAACATTAGAAGTTCACTTTACAGGTAAAGACAAGAATCATTTAAAAAACCAATCTTTTAGGGATTTTTTTTTTAAATAATGAATTTTCTATCCTTAGGTAACACATCTTTATCATTCCCACTAAATATTTAGGAGATATTTTGACCTTACAGGCTTCGTGCCATGACAGTGTATGTAGACTTGGTATGGAGTTGCTTGTTTATGAACTAGGGGATAACACACAGCCAGCTACACTGTTACTGTCCTGTCGATCTAGGTATACTAGCACAAGGCCTGCTGATTCCAGTTCAGTCTTGTTTTGGCTTTGTTTTGATATTATCAAATCACAGGACATATTTTAAAAGGAAAAATTCAAAATGCAGTAGAATTTACTTGGTGATAGCAAACAAAATTAATGCTTCAAGTGTTAAACTATCTCTATTTTCCAAAGGCAAACTCTCACCAGCGTTAGTCTCCATTGTCAATTGTATCGCCAAATGTTTATAGATTAATGCAATAAACTTTCTAATAAAAAAAAACTCTTAAAGTAGCATTTCTTTCTGTCTGTGATTCTACTGTTGATTAAGGAGAGGAAAAGATTTGTTATCCTACTATAAAATTAACATTTTTGTCATGTGTGGTTCCATAGTACTTTACACGTACCTTAAAAGGCCGTACAATTTTATTATGTTTAGCTGGGCATGGTGGTATACACCTTTAATCCCAACACTTGGAATGCAGAGGCAGGTGGTTCTCTGTGAGATCAAGACCAGCCTGGTCTACATAGCAAGTTCCATTTCAGCTAGGGCTACAGGGATACCCTATCTCAAAAACACAACCAAAATTTTATTGTATTTAATTGCTAGCATAATAAATGCATTTACTTTAGATTGCTATGTTTGTCTTTGAGACAGGATCTCACATAGCTCAGGCTAGCCTCAAATGTGCTATGTAGCTAAGGATGATCTGAACTTCTGACCCTTTTGCCTCTACCTTCCAGGTGCTACAGGTGTGCTACCATGTCCAGTTTATGTGGTGCTGTGTGTCAAACCTAGAGCTTTGAGCATGTTAGGCAAGCACTCTACCAACTGAACTACATCCCCAGATTACTTAGGGGACAGAAACAACATTTTATTTGCAGGTGGACCCTGGATAGGACCTGAGTCAGGTCTTTGTAAATAGTTTTCAGCAATTTAATTTGTATTCTCTCCTAAATCCATGTTAATGCTTTAATTTGATAACTAAAACAGTTTGAAACATTCACTTACAGCTCTATATTCTAGGGTCAAACATGGACAAACATTGCCGCTTCTCTCTGTAGCTGTCTCTTTCCTTGAGGGCCTGAGTTAGGTAGAGTTGGCAGTGAAGAGAAGTGTCACTCTCAGGGGGACAAAGCATCTTACTAGCTGTGTGACTTCAGTAAGTGACTTACCCTCCAAGGCCTCCATATGGTAATATACTGGAAATATTAGTGCCTATTTCATGGGCCTCGGAGAGGATTAGAAAACTCTTTTTGAGACAGAGTCTTACTATGTAGACCAGGCTGGCTTTGAACTCATAGAGATCTGCCTGCCTTTGCCTCCTGAGTGCTGGGATTAAAGGTAAATGTCATCATGCCAGCTTGGATTACAAAAATTTATACAGAGAAAACATTTCAGTGCTTGATATATAGTAGACATCTAGTAGAGGTTAGTTAACATTACTATTATGAAAAATAGTAATATGAACCAGCTTGCAATAACCAGATGAATGGTGTGTCTAGGGAGGGAGAAGTGTCGGGACTCTGGTTTGCTTTGCTTAGTGGGGGAACTACTGGCTTCGGGGAGAGGACTTGATAGAGTCTTAGACCCTGGGACCTGTGTCTTTTCAACAAGCCAATTTATTTTAAAATTCAGATGGTTTTTATACATCCCAAGGAACTAGCAATCAGGTGGGATATGGCACTCACATACAAAGGTTTAGGGTACAAAGAAACAGGACATTTAGTCTGTTAGTTGGCACCAGAAGGATTCTTAAATTTTTACTCAAGGTTATCAGTGCCCATCCAGTAATTTATTGGCCACAATATTTTCTTTCTTAGAGCTAAAAGCATGGTAAACTTTTAGCTTTTAGCTCAGGAGTAAACCTTTAACCTGGCCTAATCTCTTAGTCAGGGATAGCTGAGTTATTTGTTCAGGACAAGGAGAGATGAGCTAAGGGTTGTTGACCAAGACATTTTCCCACAGAGCAAGGAGCCTGCACTTGTTGCGGGTTCTCCTCAGGCCAGCTGTGAAGACCCTAACCTGGATCAGGTCCCCTGCCGATTAGGGGGGGCAAGAGGTGCGGAGTCACGACACACACAGACCCCGGGAGTCGGGTAGAAGCAAGCACTAGGCGAGGTGCTGCAGGCTCATTTAATGCAGGAGGGGGCAGGCCTTATATTTCCCTCTTCTCCACCCCCAAGTCCCTTTAGTCAGCATATCATTTTCTGACTGGTCCATGCCACACAGTCTGTCAGCAGTCACTGGGCTCGAGAGCAGGGTATGGAGACATGGGCTCC